AGGAAATTTTTTCAAAAAAGTAGACTTAGTACAAGGTGTCATTCTATTATTAGATCGTTAAAAAATTCGATGAAAATGAGGTTGAAAAGGGAACTTTTCCGGCGCTCGAGACACGGTTCCCATTAAATTTAAGCTCGTTAGTGGAACCGGACAACATGACGTATCATGTATTCCATGGAACGACTACTAGTCACTGAAACGTTAGGAGAGGCTTATACTATCCTTCTAGCTTTCAAAGGAGCATCCCGCCGACCCAGGCCAGGTATCATCGGCTTCGAAGAAGTTCAACGTTGATTGCCAGCTGTATCGATAAGATCTGATACAGACACTCGACTTTTCAAAGGTGTGCGAAAGGTCACGAACCCTCTTTCTCGCTTCTTCTGCATCGTGATACTTTGTTACGATCTGTTCGCGGTAGCCATCGTTCGGTCCCTTTGTTTTCTTGCTTATTTTTGTACCTGAACGAGGGATGGGCATTAGAGTGATCCAGAAATTGATATTAGACTAGCTTCTCAAAGTAACACGATTCAATATTAATTGAATTTTTTAAAATTTTAACACGATTGGTGTAAGAAAATAATTCAATCAAAATGGAAAAATATTTTAGAGAAAATTTTTATTTTATCCTCTTCAGCGATTACAAATATTCTATTATATGTACAAAATGGAAGAACTTCGAGCGTAAGCTATTATTCCATCCAGAGTTAGCACTTTAGGGACAAATTAGGTCAAACGATGCATTGTTTCCCACTTAGATCGCGCGAATTGGCTGGATGATTGCTTTTAGATGATAGAGCAGTAATTATATCCATTCTCGACATATTGCCTCTAAAGTAACTCCATTGTCGTAGACGATGTCGAGAAGCACCCCTCTATGGAATTTCAGTATCAGCTACTTACATGCACTTAGTATCCTTAACCAAATTACAATTTCAATGCGTCTTCCTTTTGTCAATACGATGATCAGAAATTCCTTAATGCATCTAAGAAATACGACATTTTCTATCTGATAATAAAACAAATAAACGAATAAGCCTTCCAGTATTATTCTATTATAATAAATAATTTATATTGGTAGGAAGTTATGCTCTCTGGTGTTGTAAATTAACGTGGTAGTTAAAAAGAGTAGAATGAAATGTAGCGAGTCTTACACACTTGTTAGGGAACACAAGACACTTCATGATCAGTTAAGAGTTAAAGCACGCGAACAGGTGGGCAAGTTCCTAAAACGTGTCACTATAAATCACCTCTGATTTCTTGGGGGGGAAATAAAACACACACGCTTCTTTTATATTTTTATTCGTTTCTTTAACAGGTGCTACGAAAGTAATTGGTTTAACGAAAGATCGGCTCATTTTATAATTTATTTGTTTTTATTATCCAGGCTGATTCGTTTCACTTACACGCATTGAATAACTTCAAAATAAAGGGAACATTTCTAAGATTTATCTTTCCATCAGATATCTTGGGATATCTAAAAGATTATCCGGTTCCTTCCAAATGCCATTCTCGTTTCTTTTCGGTGCATATATGCGTGCCGCAGACCCGTTCACATACACGCGCACGTTAACATTCCAAAGAAGCTAATTAATCGAATTACACTGTCTTGTTCGAAGCAATAATGATACTCTAATGAACGAGAGAAGGATATTTCCACCGATAAGAAGCGACACACGAAACGTTTTCGAACCACTTTTACGTTTCTTTTGTATGGAAAAAGACGAAGAAAACATCGCGCTCGTTGATGGAAGACGGTCATAACTTGAAGTATCGAGAAACTAAATTTTCCTCATCGATACAGGTTCAAGTATTTTAGATAACGTTCAAATATCCTTATTTTTTCCTTTCAAGAAATACACTGCTAGGTTGTTTGAATTATTTTTATTACACGTTACGATACTTATTTATGACAAAAATCTGTAATTTAACGTATCTAAAAATAATCAAACTATGCGGCATTGGAATGGAATTCATATTTAGCAAGAAAACTTTTCCTGATGAAAATCGTATGAAATATAACTGTACGGAATTCATTTTCTCGTAAAGACCACCAGAGGAGATGGTTACATTCAGACAGAAAATGTGCTGCCTTCAGGGTCAGACCCTTTACTACATTTCACAGTAATCTCCCAGATCGTGAAGAAAACGAGGAAAATTAAGTGTGCCTCCGGATGGACCAATTTGTCTACGATTTTCCAGCTTACCCGACGCTATTAACCTAAACGCGTTACCTAGATATTAATTTTGTGCTCGTTAAAAATGATGTACTACCAACCACACTATACCTTCCACGTTATCAATGTTTAATAATTTTTTTTATCAAATTAAAAATTTTTATATATTTCTTTAACTTCATCTTGCCAAATTTAGCCAATTAATTTTATTTTATAATCAATCATTTATTTACAAAATGATTGTCGTTCACCCTGTACACTTCTGATCGTAACTTCGTAATGAAATTATCGAGTCGATCGGACCGATAATTATCATGCATCTGGCAAAATCGATCGTCTTAATTGTCGAGACTGTCGGAAGATTAACCAAAGGGTGGAACATCTGCGAGCCTTGGATATATACTTTATCGAATGTATCAAACCGGATGCGAAGTATTTATACTAAAGAAAGGGTTGAACTGGACTCGAAGAGATATGAATCAACGGGATCGTTTCACCTGATTTCTTATTAACACTTCGATCTCTGACCGAAAAGTAGGGAGAGAAAAAACTGTTATCTTGGAATCTTTTGCTAAGATAACAAAAATTTTAAAATTTATTTAAATGAAATTTCTAAATATTGAAAATTTGTCAATTTTATACCTTCAAAGTTATTTTAGCCTTCATATTTTTATAAAATTAAGTTGGGGATGAAGAATGGGACGCGTTGCTCTAAAAACTTAGAAAGTTTCATAAAAATTCGAGTATTTTCGTGAGCGAAGTTTCTTCACGAGTACCACACGAAACGTTCTCATTACTTTTTGAATTACTATAGATTTCGATAGAGAGGATAAAGGGTGCAGCGGGAATGTAGCGTGTCGGATCGATGGAACATCCTCTGGATAGTTAATAACCTTGTTCAGCCACCGTCTGAAATTTCTTGATCGATTCCTGTTATTAAAGCGGTGGTTGGCCACGTTCAGGCCCCGGGTTGTTTTCGTAGAAGCAATCGCTGTAATTAGCGATTAACCCGTCGTATAATCGATGTTCCACGTCTTCTGGATTTTCCTTCGCTCTTCGAAAGCCTCTCGGGTTCGTGCTTTTAGCCTCGTTAAGATTTATCGTACAACCCGGAGGTAAAGATTTACAAGCTTGCATCTTCGCGCGCCGCACAGCCTCTATACTCTTGCGAATCGAAACGAACCGTTTCGCCATTCTTTATTGCAATTTTTCCCCGTTTCTCATCTTCTGGATATATTATATTGCACGATGTGGTTCTGCTTTTCTAAAAATATTACTCCGCCTCGCTAACGAGCTTCGTTTTCGTCTTAACACATTTCTCTACTCGGGTTTCTTCGTTATTGTTCAAACTCGCGGCCAATTATTCTTTTCCTCGGAATTTTCTGCAATATTTTATCAGTTAAGTCCTTTCTTGGGGGTCTCTCCATGGTCCGTCGTTCGAGAGTTAAAAAACGCGCTATGTTATATTTTCTACCTTTTTGGTAAAAGGATCAATTATTATAGAGGGATCGATAACTATAATTTTTTTAATATCCTAAGTTACTTTGCCAAGGACCGTTCTAAGATTTACAAAATGAAAATAATTCCGTACCCAGAAGTGACACGAACTTCGTGAACTACATAACAGCTCATCGAAGTCTGAGTCGGCCAGTTGGAAAGGTCTACTCGTAAGAATAGAAGAGTTTAGCGGTCTCTTTCAGAAAAAATAAGGCACGCTCGACACATGGGATTATTGGGTCGAGTGATTGTGTACGAGTGCATCGAGAAGGGCCGTTCAAAATTGCGACTTCCCTACTGAATTTTCCCCTTACCTATCCTTTCTCTGCTACCAGCTGCCTTTCAATTATTCCGTTATTTTCAAGAAGTCACGAAGAAGAACGGCCCGAGCATCGTGCTCGAGTAGAGGAAATTACAGCACGATTCTTCTTCGTCGGCTTCTCGAGTATTCAATGCTCGATACGACACCCGTGAAACCTTTTTCCGGAGAATCGAGAGGAAACGACAGACGGGAACGGAAGGATGGGAAACAAGGCGGAAGTGGAAGAAGCCGGGAAAACTGTTATCGCTATCGTGGACGAAAAGAAGACCTAACCCACTTCGTGCTAAATGAATGCACCAGCTAACTCATTATCGCGATAAATGAGGGATTTAAAAAAAAAAAAAAAAAGGCATCTCTCTCGGTTCGTTAATTTCGCGAGAAACCACGGTTCAACATCGACGAACAGCTACTTTAAAATGGCGTTTCGTGAAATTGACAATGAGGCATGGAATTAATGCGACAAAATTGAATTGAATAGAATTTTCAAGTCTTATAGTAAGGTTTATTTCTTGAAATATCTTTTTCGAGGGAATTAATTTGGCAGAATTGAATGTAATTGAATTTCTTTCTACTATTACTTCTTGCAAGTGGAAAAAGCATCGCACTTTCCATCGCAAAATATGTATAACGTTATCGATTTCATTTAAAAGGTGACTATACCTTCTACCCTAGCCTCGATAATAGGCAAAGTGTGGTTGCCGTATGACGTTTACGGAAATGCTATTTTTTTTATACTTTATAACAATTCTATTAGGTGTAGAAATTAATTTTGTGCTTTTTCATTTTAAATGAAACATTTATTTTTAAAGTAATTTGGAAAATATTGAAATATAATATATCAATCAAGAAGATGTGGTACTAAATTAATTACAACATAAATAAGGTTTTGAAATTGAAATTTTTATTAAATATCGGGTGTCTACAATAGATTATAAAATTGTTTAAGCGAAAAGGAAGATACTCGGCTGATCATTCGAATAATCGTTGTCGGTGCATCTCTGTTTCAGTGTGCAACTGCAACCTTCATGCGAGAAAGTGCAGATTCAACATGGAACTGTACAAGCTGTCGGGACGTGTCAGCGGAGGCGTTTGTCTGCAGTGCCGGCATTTTACGGCAGGAAGACACTGTCATTATTGTCGGGAAGGTTACTACAGGGACCCGGCCAGACCGATCACGCATCGTAAGGCCTGCAAACGTAAGTACATCCCCGACAGACGTTAATCACTGCTAATTTAAAATCAGTTATCCCATGCTGATCTATTAATCAGAGATTATCCATTCAAGACATTTGCATGTTCATAGCACGTACCTTTGTGCCCTACATAATTCTCTTACCTTCGACTGTACATGATTAAAAATTTTCATTAATGTAATTAGGGATTGTCTCGAAATTCTAAAATTCATTAGATTTAAAGGGGTGTCGAAAAATCCCATTACTAAACACATCCATCCCCGTATGTTACGAAACACATAACAGGTGTTTTATTTTGAAAAAGATAAGTTGAAATATCGAAGAGCCATTTTGGCGCGCACGGAGGGTTAATTTAATAGGTGTAAAAGTGATTCCCGCGGGTACAGAAGACTAAACAAATCCCCGGTGTTCCAATCATACGAATGGAATGTACCGTAAGTGAACATGTGCATGTAGATTCACGGTCTACCGTACCGGTGTGTACATATAGCATAGCGCGAGCATGAATACCATCTATCCGTACTTTCTCGCGCCAGGAGATCGTTATCCCTGGTCGCGGTGGTTTCTGGCCCTAGACAATCCGACATAAATTGAATGTCTTGAAATTGGTTGGGAGGGGGTCTTAGCTCGGTTGGTAGCCACTTTGTAACAGTACCGGGAAACGGATGAAATTAATAGTAATAACGGGCTAATAACTGGATTCCATTTTACGGTTGGAACGCGAGGATAAGCTTTGCTAACGATTGACAGTTTAACAACTGGAACGACCCTATGAAATATTCATAATTAATCCGATTAATTTGATTAAATAATTGTAGCGAACCGTTTATCGTAACGCGGAAGACTTTAAAGTTGGCATTTTCGCGAAACTAGAGAAATGGTTCTCGGGTTCTAATTAAAGGGTTCCTTGGGTTTCCGATGTTTGAACTCGTCGTTGTCGTCAGATATGGTGCAATGTATGCTCGGTTCAGTTGGCAGTGTCTCTGGTCTCGCATATAAAACACAAGTGTCGTGCCGAGGGCTTGCGCGTGCTCTCGTCGCGAAGATAACGAACAGTCTGTATTCTCGTTAGCAGCCATAGCGGAGCCGTTAAGATAACAACGAGACACGACACTCACCGCGAGGGAACGGCACGAAAAGAAGATTTAAACGCGTCTTAGGATAGTAGAACTTTCATAAATTAGGTCCCCTCGGCGAAGATGCTACCATCGCGTGGGACGTTGAAAACGGCCGTCAATCCTTCCTTTCGTTTCTACCTCGTGAAACGGAACCCCCCGGTCGTTTCGTTCGCGAAGAACAACGAGAATCTAATACCCTTTTCAGAAGGTAATTAACGCGCCCCTAAACGAATAAAATGATAATCTTCCTTAGTAGCGAAAGGGTTAAAATTGAATGAAATTCTTCTGGAAAATCCTGCGGGGCACGCGATCCTTTAAAAAATTAAAAAAAATATGCCAGTTTCGAAAAAGGTAGCGCGTTCGCAGGCGATGGACGGAACATTCACGGGTCAGCTCGCAACGACATTAGACACGGCTGTTAGTCGGTTGACGAGGCAACAAATTTCCCGGCCAATTCAGTGTGTCGTTGGTAGAGAGACAGAAGCGAATGGTAAACGCGGCGTGTGTACGAAAGGTGAGAAAGGGAAAGAGAGAAAGCGACCCGTGGAAATCTCGAAACGATCCGGCAAGTTGCCTGACCCGACGGTTACATACCTGTACTCAGGGCCGTATTTTCCCGTGTGTTGGAAATTCAGAGGGTTCGCCTAGGGAGCCATTCGGAGTTCACTAACCGTGGAAATGGCACAGCCCCACTCGATGCAACGTTGCGACGCGAGACGCCAACGGAACGCGCGGGAAAAAAAGGGGCGAAATATGCATCACTTTTGGAGATGCATCACCTCTTCACTGCTTTCATTTTTTTTACAACCGCTTTTTTAAAACACATATTCTCTCAGCTGGGATGCTGCTGTCCTATGACATTTATAAGTATTTGTCGAGATTTATTATAGAAATTTCAATTCATGATAGAAAAGTGTTTCAAAATTGCACTTGTGTGTTATTGAAATTTTTCAAAAAATCGTTTGGTGTATGTAATATTCCCCCACACATTTCGTGTGATATTTTTCCATCCTTTCATCGGGTTAATAATAATCGAGAACATATTTTTCGTTTTTTAATTTTGATATCGTTCAGTGAAGAATTGTTATACTCTTGGTGAAACATCCTGCATGTGCACACAGTGGCTGGTAATATTAGAAGCTTCCCCTGTTTGTATAGCACGCGTGGCCATACCGGTACGATACGTTTCAACTGTATCCTACCCCGAAAGCTTCACCCCGTGTTTACTTTAACCTCAGTGACACCCTCCGGCAAGGGTTGCTTCTCAAACACAGAATCGGTCACCGAGATATTCGCGGTCTCCTGTCGAGAACCTTGCTGGCCCTTCCACTTTGCCAAACCACCGAATATACCATACTAGTATCACCCAAAATTTTTCCTTTGTTTACGATTAAAAAAGATTACATAAGATGAAACTAGCAAACAATAATTTCGAGGTGTGAACTAATAATTAATTTACAAAAAAAAAAAAAAAAAATGACTCAATAATTGAAAATAATATAATTTTACATATTATTTATAAGTAATAATTTGTAATAATTTTTCGCAAACATTTGATCGAAGATATAATATAATGTACCTTTGAGTTCAAAGGGTTAATTTCTCAATTCATCGAACCGATTAATTTCATCGAGAAACAAAAATTGACTCGCGTTTAACGTGTTGCATAATTCACGATTCATTTTAATTTCATCGAGCCCGGTGAAAGAACGTTGAAAATATTCGGCTGCAAAGGAGAACGAAACGTTTTAACCGGGCGCAAACGAAATTGGATGCTCGCGCGTAATTACATGCGTACCCCGTGTATTTATCTGAACAAAGGGTAACGAGGATCGGCGAATTCGAGTGCACTTGATTTCTTTGTCTCATTTTCTACCGTCTAGACGATCGATCATACAAACTGAGCTCTTTAAAAAGAAACGAATTGACAAAATGGCATTAAAGAAAATTGCATCGATCAAGTTTTAAAAATTTTAAATTTCGATAATTATCGAAATCGCGGCTAAAAATCTAATGAAAATGGGTGAATTTAGAAATTCATCCTAACTGTTGGAGCTCGATAAATCATAACTTGACAAATGGAAAGGAGAAATCGAAAGGTGAGGATACAAAGACAAAGCAAGTGAGTAAAGTATGAAAAAGAGGGTGGCGAGTGGCAGGTACCTAGAAGGAAATGATAGGAAAAGGCGGTAAAGGACAGAGAGAAAAAGGAAGTGAATGGGGAAGAGGAAGAAGAAAAGGGGTTGGGCGTGAGAGACTAATAGTGCTGATCCCACCACAAGCACCGCTGGTTTAAGACCCGGCTAAGTGGTGGATAATGAATATGCTAACGTGTGCCGAGTATGCGAGGAAAGCTTTGCACTTGGTATCGGGTTCAAGCACCTTTCTCTGCTACTGTACGTGTGCGTTCTATACATTTTTCGTTCGTGTAAATCGTCGGTTTTCACAAGCGACCCAACTAAGACCATCAATGAGACGGACAGACAAATAGACAGACATCGACCCGGTTCGAAAGAAAAAAATCTACCATATCGATGGTGCGAAAGGGGATTCAATTCCGTTCTGACGTTCAATTAAAAGGGAATAATAGGATCAGAGTACCTACGTACGCGTCGATATAGTAGGTGCAATTCTTCTTTCGATCGACCTGAAAATAGATGACAGTTCAGATGGCAGATGGATGATGATTTGATTGAAGGGTGTAATCAACCAACTATAAAGGCCGATTTATACTAGCAGTCAAAGGTACGGTTGAATTTCGATCAACCAAGAGTTTCGTTTCTTGAATTTTAATTAAAATAAGTTATCGATTAATAGATAAAGATGAATTTAATCTGAAGTGTATGGAAAAGCTATTAAGCAAATCCGTTTCGGGTAAATGTTTGTAGAAATTATGCAAAAATAACGTTACGGGATCGAAGAGGGTCTCTATAAAGGATTTGCTTAATCAGATTGAACCAATTATCCAGCCTTGACAGCCTCCCCGAAACGAAATACGCTTTCAGAATACAAGATTTAGCATAATCGTGGGCCTAAGGAACTAAACTACCAAGCCAATTAGAATTTGAATAAGTAGCTTAAAATCACTGTCCTGTAATATCCTGGAAAACTGTAATTACATTATACATATTCGTGGTACAATAATGAAATATAATTTAATATATAAATTTCTTATAACATTGAAAAAAGTTGTAAAAATAGCCTAGGGTGGATCTAAAACTCGGTGTACTCTGCAGAGCATTACAGAGATGCAATTTGGCAGCAGCATCCTCGTCTATAGTAACAGGATTGGCAAGAAAATTTAATTTGGCTCCCAGTTCAATCCAACTTCCCGTTCGAACGTATCTTTCTCAGAGGAAAAGGAAGAACCTTCAACTTCTATCCGAGTAATGTAAATACCAATCGACAATGGTATTTTCTAACTTTTCAACTTTTCAACTTTCGGACAGGTACTATTAGTTATAAAGGTGATACGTCGGAGAGGATGATAGATAAAATCGACAGTGAAAAGTTTCAGAATGGATTGCGATACCCGCTTCATGGATTAATACAAAAGGTAGCTAACGCACGATAACGTTCTCTTTAATCACCGTAATGTAACTCTATCTATCACAAAGCGAACGCGTGTTCATTTTTAATTCAAATCTAAACCTTTCACCTTGATTTCTTTTCTAACGCAACGATCGCCTCGTTGCGCAACGCGAGAAGAAGGTTAGGATGAAGAAATACGCCGTTCCTTTCTGTACCGGCCACCAGAGGGACAACCGCGATAAGTTTCTCGCAAGTACTCGGTAACGAGTTCGCTAACAGACCCCGGTACGATTTACCTTTCTCTTCCTTACCCTTCTTTCTCTTTATCCTTGTTCCCTGAAGGGAAAAAGAATGAAAGGTACGCTTTATACACCTGGCAACAAGATATTCGGCCGGATGTAACCTTCGCGGCTTGTAACATTGGCAAAAGGAAGATAAAATCATAGAGAGAGGACGTGCAAGGGGTCGAGAAAAAGAAGAGAAAGGTAGCGGAGTAGAGAGTACCTGTAGCCGAGGTGCAACTTGCAGACTCACCTTTGTTTGAACACGCAGGACTCTCCTTTCTCTTTTTCATCTTCATCTTCTTCCGACTTTCTTCGTTTCTCCTCGGCGAAGCTTGCATACCTCTACGTTCTAGCGAGGCCGTTGCGCGCGCCTGTTTACCCGCCTATCCCGAGGGTTACGCGCGATTTATGCGCGCCGCTCTGTGTACACGTTCAAATTTATACACGCGCTGTACACGTATGATGCGAAAAAATGCTTCTTTATTTGGTAAAAGTCTACGATCCGTGGATAACCGGTAAAACTGTTCTAAAATTCGACAATTTTTTCAATTTCACTTCAGAGAAATTCGCGCGTTTTATGTTAAACCTCGAAACCCGTTATAAGAGACCACATGTTTGGTCAGAAATTTGTCTCACTACACGTCCACAAGTGTGTACATACGTATCTCGCTAACTGGATAGCACTTGGCCGACTGATACCAGCCACTTCTACTCGTGATTAACACCTCGCAAAAAAACAGGAGAATCACCGGGAACAGTGCGAAGAGAAGCAATCTTCGATACACTCGTTTTATCATCTCTTTCTCTGTTACTCCTTATCCTTTCTATGGGAGTTGCATCAGTGTGCGTTGCACCGTTCGAAGATGCAGGTAAGCGTAATTGCGCGCATAATTTAAGGGTGCGCCACGGCACGAATATACGAGGCTCGATGAACGCCGGGCATACGGGAATACACCGTAACATCTGGCTTAAAGGGGGGTCAAGAAATGCTGCACTCGAGGAGAAACCGGCACTTTAAGAAAACCGATCCGTCCATTCATCGAGGAACGATTAAATTGATAGCTCGCCACCACGCAACCAACTGACACAACTCGCTGACTTTCTTCCTCCGTACTGTGCTTCGACCAGGAAAATCCTTGTTTTAATATCTGAACCCCGGAGACAGAGTATATTCATTCTACTTTTTTCAAAATATCACATTATTATTTGTTTCTTGTATTAGATTTCTCGCTCTTCCTGATGGTAAAAATTATTTTATTCCAAGTTCTTGATATTAGCTTACAAAAAATTTCTTTTTCAAAAGTGTGACATAATACACTCTGGCACCGGGGTTCAGATACGGATAGATGGGTCCAACTTTATTACTGACCCATTGTCAAGAATTAATACTAATTAAGTTATTACATTATTTTGGAACTTCAGGTACATTTTTTTTTTCTTTTTCTTTTTAGAAAAACCAAAGAAGACCACACTATTCCCTTTGGATAAGAATTTCCAGATTGTTGGACGTATGAAAAACATTTTTTTTTCTTTTTTTTTTCTTTTTTAATTACATGAATAATGAGTGCTTAATATTACAATGTACAATTTTCAATTTGCCATAACACAAGTGTCACGGATTAAATGTTCTCGCGTTGCAAGAACTATTGTACGTGACAAGAAGTCGTAACTTAGGTTTAATTAAGAGAACTATACTGCATGCAAATATGTACAAGTTGGGGTTAACCTTTTAATAGCTTACGTTGCTCCCAGTTTAAGAACGTTTAAAGAGTTGATGTATGTACAACGTGAAAGTGTGTTGTGTACCCTGTTAAACCAACGAATTCAACTGTTCACGAGAATTACAGTAACTAACTTACGTGGCAAGGTTATTCAATTGAAATTTATTTTCTTCATCAATTGCTTATGATGGATTGCTCAAAGGCTTGACTGGAACATTAGCACAATCTATTCTATAGATTCCTTATTATACGTAAGGGTATAGATAGTGATTGATAGAATTGAAGATGTTTAAATGACGAGAGGCATACGATGGAAATTTTTTAATTTTATGGTTTCATAATTTCAGGGTTTCAGGGTTCAGAAATTCTAAAATTTGCAAATTTTCAAATTCTAAAATTCTAAGATTCTAAGATAGTCACGCCAATGCCACCCCATCGTCGACCTTTAATCCGAAATATCAATATCATGGCTCTTTTATTCCCTTCGGGAGCGTGTTGGTTTCGCAGGGTTGTAAGTTCAGACAGCCACTTCGGATCAATTAGCAGGAGGCAGGGAAAAAAAGAAAGGGAAGGTAAAAAGTGCTCGGATCGAGGTCCCTTTATGAATGAAGACGTCATCGGTCGCATAGTTCTGATTGCACGCGAGTAGGATGACTGGAATACAAGACGTTGATGAGTGAGAAGGGTCCGAGAACGTCTCCCGTTGCTTGTCCCCGAAGAAAGACAGAGGAAACCCGTAATAAATGCATGGGAGGTGTAATGGGACGAAACTCGATATAGCCGGATAACCTGCCATGGTGTCTATAGCGTCGCGTGGCTGTCATAATGGTAAAAAAAAAAAAGAACAATGATGAAGAAATTGACCCTTCTACTGGGTCAAAATTACGCTGGCTATTTTAATTTTAATCAGAACATAAGATGACTTATATCGATACTTTCTACAGAAACTGTACAATTAGGCTCTTCCTTCTTTTTTATGAAGCATATAATTACCCGTAAGAAAGTTTTCAATTGACAGTTGTCAGAATGCAGCGATTGTATAAGCGTCGTACGGCTATAAATGTGCAAAATGAAAGAGCAAAATTGCTCGAGGGACAAAGCTTTCATTCACCAAGGGATCATGCAAGTATGACTGCGATCGATTGATCCACCCTCGCGAATGTCTGCGAAAATGATATTTCATGTGGATTTTATGTTTAAAATTTAGATGATTCTTAGGAATTTTTCATTTTCAATTTTTCTCGCTTCTCTTTTCTTTCAATTATTCGATCATATCGAATTCGTGCCTCCTCGGAAAAAAATTTTCAGAAAACAGGGACACTATAAGATTTCCAGCCGGTAGAAGTTGCAACCGTTCGACGTAACAAACGTTGTTGCACTTTTCAATGGGAAAACCATTTGCGTTTCGCATGCCTAGCCTCTGTTTCGAAGGAATCCGGAAAAATCGTATCGTTACGGTGTCAACGATTTCGTCGATAACGGTGTGGCGTGGTGCGCGGCGTACGTTCACGACCACCATTGAACGTTCGAACGGTATACCTGCATGGGGGACCATGAAAAAATCCCGAGAAACCGATAAAACACGCGAGCTCGCACATGTACCTCTCTCGCGTACCTAAGTACGTGCAACGAAACACGGGTTGAAACACCGTGGCCGTAAATCACCGTTGAATCTAAACACAATGCGCCACAACGATTCCCGTGGATCGTTTCAAATCTCCATACAAGCATCGGGCGCGATAGGACAGAGGCGCAAGATCCAGGCCAGCCTTCCGCTACCATCGACAACGTTTATCCGGAAAACTGTGCAAACAAATAACGGTTCGCCATTTCGCGGAAACATTTCCGTGAGTTGAATAACAGTGGCCGGAGAAAATTAATCGTTTCCAAACAATCTCTAAATTAAAGGGGTGCACACTTCATTTGTGGAATTTTTTTTATAAGCAAGGGCTAATTGAAAAACTTCCATCTTGTTGGGAAATATCTACCTAACTTCCGACTTTTTGAACTAGACATATTGCAAAATGGTAGAGTTATTCGTTAATTCTGATAAGTAGCATAGGATTTAAAAAAAATTTTCATAATTATGGAGATGGCGTCAAATTCAAAATTCTTGGGATATTAATGAATTGACGATAGATAAATTTAGACCTCGTTTTCTAGAATTTTTGCGATGAAAGGAGTTACCGAAAGCCCCTCGAGGGTTGAAAGGAGAGAGAGAGAAAAGAAAAAATACAAAGTTCCCAGACGCATAGAAGACGTAATCCGATACTGCAATACCATGGTGCAGCTTTGAAGAAGGGTGAAAAGTCAAGTGTAAAATGATAAGTGACACGAACCGTTTAACCGTATTCTCTGCGCTTTGTCTACCTACCCGACAGTAAATTCTTTCCTTGCTGCATGTATTTTCGAATCGTCCGACGTGGTAAACGTTTACACGAGCCTCTTTCGAAAAAGGAGCCCATGACGATGTCCAGACTCGAATCTGGATGTTAATGTAGCCAGAGGACTGTTATACGTATATTACGACTTGCATCTGCGTTTTCAGAACTTCAAACGTGTTCTAATGAACTGTTTTATCGATAACTCTGTGTCGTCTCTCGTAAGAAACGAGGAATTTCCTACAAACGTGCCTGTAATATCCATCATTCTGGAATTTAGCTTACTGGGAGGGATCGCGATTCAATTAGAGAGCTTTTTCTGTTCGGACTTTACTTTCAGAGATTTTTAAGCTTGAAACATATATTTTGTGAATTCAAGAAATTTTCGTTCCCCAAAGTAAAGTTCAACCATTTTTCTAAATATTACATAAATTAGATATCAGAGTTGTTTCTGGACAAAGTTATTTCATGCTTGGAGGAAATGCTAAAGATAATTCAAAGTAATAAATTACATTCCGATTAATCTTATAAAGCGTAATTACAAGGAATTATCGCGTGACAAGAACGGGAAAAAATTCGTAATCACGATGTGTTAAGTACACGAACCAAGTGAATGTTATTACCCCAAAGCTTCTTTCATTCCACGGTTGTTAATTAACTCGACCGATCAGGTGTACGTGACCAGTGTTACTGGTTTCGAATCAATTCCCCGACAGTACACGTTCGTTGATCGCAAGAATTTGCTTGAAATTTAATTACCCGACGCATCGAGGCGAACGTTTACGAAAAGAAATCCTTATCGCGCATAAAGCTTCGCCGTAAACGAGACAATTTGCAGAAGCATCGTATATTTATGTCGTTCGATTCGCGTCTCGATCGATCATCTCTTAACGAGAGACGAAGTAACGCGCTGGGAATGATAAGAAATGAGTTAATTAGCATTCCACGGGAGAAAGGCTGCTTTTTCTTTTTTTTTTTCTAAACGATCGTTGATCGAGGATCCCGTCAAATTAAGCTGTTTAATAAACCAAGATATCGTTGTACGAATAACGTAACCCATTTAAACGTAGAGCCGGGTAACCGTGTTCAGCAAAAACGTTTCTTAAAAACGAAGATTAATCAAACTACCATAGAGCGTAGCCTCTTAAAAGCGAGTTGTTGTAAATGATCGGCCTTACGGATGTTCGTGATGAACATTTTTTTTTTTTTTTTTTTTCAAACGAGTAGATACAATTTATCAAACATCATTTTATAGCTATATACAGGGTGTTTTGTGATGTACAGCATCGAGCATAATGAACTTCTCTAGGGAGAAGGATCTAACACTCAACGTTGAATGTCTGATCACGCGATATCGCTGGTTCGATAAATCCGCAGGAAAACTTAATTACCAGGAATTTTAAATAAATTTAATAAATTCCTATATTAACCGTGGGTGTTTGGATCTCATTGAGCCATCCTGTATAAATACCACGAAGATGGTAGGTGGAATGGTGTAAGGAAAGAAATAAATGAGACGACGGAAGTATTGATACTTAACGTATAGTATGATACAAAGGCATTAATCTTGGAAATGGCGTAAGGCTTTTTAGCCCGTAACAACTTTGAACACTTTGCTTGGATTCGCACACTCGTGTACTTTGAATCAATGCATATCGAGCCGAATGGAGAATACATGTTATTCCTACGTCCCTGTCTGTCTCAGTATTTTATGCCGTACCGTGGTTGCATTCCTCTATGTTTAAAAGATAGAATTAATGAGGTATGAACATATATTTCGACTCTTATGGGAAACATGTAAAAAGGTTCGCTAGAAAGTTCAAGCGAATTTCTTCACCTTCTGTTTCTGTTGGAATTCTGCAAAATTAGGGATCTCTCCCAGGTCCGCCGTCTCGGGGGAGTCTCTCCATGGTCCGCCATCCGAGGATTAGTTAACACTTAGCTGATTGAATTCCATTTTCGGGCATCTATAAGAACGATACCTTCAAAAAATATAAATCATAGCATGAAATAACGTGAATCTACTTGTCCCGTTCGTTAAGTGTTAAAATACTAGGTCAAAGGATTGCGGTACGTTGACGCGGTTTTCGCAGCGAAAGAGTTAAATGTATGGAAAACAATGATAGGGAAAATGAAGAAGGGACAACAGGTCATTGTACACGATTGGACTGATCTTTTAAGGGCATTGACCAGCCGTGGTGTATCGCGCTTGCAATTGTTCGATTGTCCTGACGCGTGCTTATGCGTGCACTGGCCTTAATTCGAAGCTCGTTTATGGTGACTCACTTTCTCGTACGTCATTTCTGTCCACGGGACAGACGAATATTATTACCCTAATAGCCAGCCATAACCTTTGCGCGCCATTGCGTGTTAATTCCTTCCGCAGAGATTTTTCTTTGCCGTACG